GTGCAGCCTTTCCAAACAGTCGCGACTTATGTAATTCCGTGTGGAGCCTATGTCTATGAAGGCACCACATTTGCGGCCTCCTACATCCACTTCCAACACGAAATGTTCCCCTCTAGGACCTTTCCTCAGCGCCACCCAAGACTCGCGAGGGTCCTTGTTTGACCACTCACTCTCCAAGTCCTCTAAGGCTTCAGACACATCTAACATACAGAGCATAGTTTGGTCTAGTTGTGTCTGCGGGGTGACTAAGGGGTCATTAGCCTTGGCCTTGTCATGAAGTAGGGAGGGTATCATCCCTACTTCATCTTGAGTAGAAGCAGCTACTACTTACACTGGCCTGACGTGTTTCCCGAGCTAGAAGCCTGGGAATAAGTTGCCCCAACTTTTGGCGCAACCTTTTGCGTAACCTTAGCGTTCTGACACTTCCACTGCGTGTGTCCGTATTCTCCGCAGTTGATACAAGCGCCACGCATTCGGCGGCCACGCCACACGTCTTGATCAAGACCTGCCTTTACCCACTCAGCCTGTTTGGTCTGATTGGAGGCGCCTTCCCTTGACCCCTAGGTTGGCCCTTCCCTCGGCCACCTGCCTTAGTCTTTACTACTGCGGCGAGGGTGCTACCCTCAGCTATCTCCTCGCCGTCAAACTCTGTGTAGTCCACCAGGTCAGAGAGCTCGCCGATCTCTGTTTGAGTCCCATCAGACTCCACCATCATCAACTTCGCCCCCTTCTTCTTCCACTCCTGAGGACTCTTCTTCTTCTTTGAGTCATTTCCTGAAGTGGGTTGAGCATTGCCTAGCGTGGCCTCCAAATCTAAAGCCTTCCTAGACAATGTCTCAAATGAGTGGTACTCGGTGCGTGCCTCACTGGCTAGTAAGTTCCTGATATTCTCTAGAAGACATCTAATGAAAGTAGTTAACAGGAACTGGTCACTGTAGTTGATGCCCGGAACGAGGATCAGGCTCTCAACGGTAGTCGTAAGCTCTCTAATTGACCGGAACTTGCGCTGGTCTAGTTTATTTATGGCATCAGTGGCCCTTTGTGCCTCCTGTGGGTTATGCCATCGAGCCTCTACCATCTCCATGAACTGGTCTAGAGTCAAAGACTTGGCCCAGTCCGCCATGCGTCGCCCATACTTGGCCTTCACAACTACACCATCTAACCATTTGGTTGCCTTACCCTCTAGGTAAGATGCCGCAGTTACCACTTCATCCTCTGGCAAGGTCCTTTTGGCCTTCACCCAAACCGGGACCGTCCTCAACCATGTGTTGAGTTCCTCATCCTTCCTCTCGCCTGAGAAGGCAAGAGGCGGTTTCATTGGGGTCTTGGGATACCATTGACCTTGCTGTTGTCCTTGTGTAGGAACAGGTTGTTGCGGTGGTGTAGCAACCACCGCTGGACCCGAAGAAGAAGATGCAACAGTCTGTGCGGCTGCTGCAGATGTGCCACTTGGCTGTGTGCCAGCTTGAACCGGAAAGGGGCCTGACATCGCCGATAACGGCAACGGCGATTGTCCTGGTGGCCGGAATCCTGGCTTTGTCAAAGCATCCAGGATCTGGTCTAGAGTGCTCTGCATGAAGTCTAATTTGTTGTCCACGTGTGCGTGTAGTGACAACATATTCTTCTTCAAAACTTTCATGTCGTCAGACATAGCTGACTCATCCAAGCCCTCTAGTTCAGCCTTGTCAGCCTCTAAAGTTTCAAGTCTGGCTGCTCTAGTTATCATCGCATTTTCTCTATCGGTAGCTTCTTTCAGGTCCTGCTCTAACTTACGGCGGAGCATCTCGACCTGCTGGATCTCTCTGAGCTCCCCTTGACGCGGGGTCAACAGGCTGAATTGCGAGCCCGCCATTTGACTAGAAGACTGTCTAGAACCTGTGGAACCGGAAGTGCCTGAGGAACTTGTGGAGCTTGTTGGCATTCCCAACTGGCCCCCATTAGTCCCTGACGAGGACGCAGATGATGACGCAGCGGAGCTTGCGCCGTTAGCCATCGCTGCTGCTCTGGCTGTTGTTGCCTGCTCTCTAGCTGCTGCGTTTGCTGCTGCTATCCCCGCTGCTAGAGCACGGGCTCTACGTTCGGCCCGAAGCTGTGCTTCGTCTCCCGGTTGTAAGGCCTGGAACACGTGCGGTACCCTTAGTGCCCGTGCACATGTTAGTCTCCTTTCGTCAGCTCTATCATCAACAGGGTCAGACCCACTCATTAGTTAGGCAGATAGTGTCTACACTAGGATCCCCTAATGGAATCCTACCGCAGCATGTATCTGTCCGGCACGTAATTTTCCAGAAATAGTTGTGTCCGGCGAGTTCCCTACTACACCGAATCAAGTGGCATGTCTACAACATTCACACAGATTGTCTACATAGTCTAGATGCACCCTGATTGGTTCACTTACATCAACATTAGTTAGAACTGGCTATGGTAGCATACAACAGTCCTACACTAATCTGTCTATGAGGTTAGCAGTCCGTCAACCAACTAATCAAAGGTACAAAAAGACAATGTAGCAGATGTATGATTGATGGGTATGGTTGTGTAAACAGTTGAGCACCAATTGGAACCTACCCTTCCCCTCAATCCAAC